GACAAACGAGCAGAAGCTAAGACAACTTGAGCAGAGTCAGTGCTGAAAGGACTTGCAAGCCATTCCATAGAGGGATGGAGTCCTTGTCACGGTGGATACTAAACGTCCTGCATGACCCTCAGTCTTCTACCTTGGATACTATGATATTATGGTATTACAGTATTTAAAGTCATGCAGGGTCTTTAGTACTAACAGAAATGACAGAAATGATATTTCGATATGAAGACGGTAGCAAACTCTCTAGATGTATCAAAGAGGTGTGGAGAGCCATGGCTGGTCACAGAATATTGGCAAACATGTTGCCAACCATCACCTTTTTGTCACACGATTGGGGATAATAACGGCAACAAAAGCCCCTCCCTAGCACCGACCTTTGACAACTTGCAACATGCAACTTGATTCCCTCATGTCCTGAGATCTGTGCGCAGAATGCATCGAGGACCTTTGTACTATGAGGCAGCAAGGAACTCTGTAGAGTTGGTGTTCATAAGGTCCGGCCATTGAATGCAAAGGCTTGGATTGTTGGACTCTACATGGGTTGTTCTCCAAAAATGTGAGCTCCTTTAGGCTATAGGTTATGCTACGGCACCTAATATCTACCTAGACCCTCCTCCTACCCTCTAATAGGGCCTAAGTACCTACTATTAGGGACCATATATCCCCCAATGAAGGGTACAAGGAGGGTCCTGGTAGGCTACCAAAATGGGATCAAGGCCCAAGTTCCAGCTGTGAGGTTAGGAGTTGGATGGGTGCTATCATCATTGCTGACATGGTTCCTTGTGTTAGTACTACTGTTGATACTAAAAATCCTGCATGACCATAGTATACTATAATCCCATTACTCCCAAGGTATAAGGTAGTTTGGGTCATGCAGGATTTTTAGTACCCACCGTAGTATACTCGTTACTATTAGGATGATTGTCATCATGAATTACTACAGGGTTTGCACTTGTATAGGCTGTATAGGGTTTATATGGGTACCTCCAGCTTCTGGGTAACTTGTTCGTCTGTGAGGCTTCACTTCAACCAACGGTCATGTTTTTCGTGTGATGGACCACGCATCGAACACGCCCACCTTAAACCCTAAACCCCCAAAATGCCAACATGAGTAATGTCCTTTTTGGTGGTTGGACCTAGTAAGATAAAACTCCTCATATGAAATACTATACCCCAAAAGAAGGATAGAAGCTTACTCTATATTGGGTACCATAGTATCCCCAAATAAAATACTCCTCACATGACTACCCAAACCTACGACTTTGCCGGACATGGCGTTGGCACCTGTTCCCGAAAAACCATTCAGGTTTCAGAGTTTAGGTTTTAGGAAATCCCCGAAAGACCGTTCAGGGCCCCGATCCAGGCGGATCCATGGTGAAATTCTTACTCATCCCGCCACTGCAAAAAAACTTATAGAACAGATTGAATTCAATCTGGATTTAAGACCTCCAACGCATTTTCCGAAAATAGACTGGGCTTGCCCCATACATCAACCCGAAACCTGCTCTGCCTGGTTCTGTCTGTAACAACCTATAGTCCCCTTAAGTAGATAGGATATGGGGTAGATGGGGATCTTGTTATAATATACCCAAAACCATATTCTATCTACTTAGGGGGGAATATAAACCCGCAGGTGGAGAGATGCCGGGGGAGGTGAAGTGAGGTCAGCAAGCAAAAGCATATGAAAGCAGTGCCCGCGACTCAGGTGGGTGCCCAGCAGATCTTATCTTCACCAAAGCCACAACCCGATACCAACAGCAACGGGGTTCTTGGCCTTCAAACTTCTTACCTTCACGCCCTTGTCCGCCAAAAGCAAAATCAAACCCTTGAACCCCGTGGCTAAAACACAGAAAAAAAGGAAGACCCACACGTTGCTTCCCGAAGCTCAAGCCGTAACCCGCACCAAGCAAACTTCAAGAATCAACAGCAAGAACAAACAGGAGGCTTCCTGGAACTTTCTGAACCCTAATCCCTGCCCTACCCTAAACCCTAAACCCCCCAAGCCGCTTAAACATCTCCAAGCCTGAAGCCTGAAACTTAGAGCTGCGCCTTGTACCTGTGCACCCTACAAATCCCTACAACAACCACGAAACTAAATTGGATCATTGCTGAAAGTAGCTGTTAAAGCCTAATTGCAAAGCTTAAAAAAGGAACATACAACTAGATTTGCATCCCGCTGAGGAAGCAATCAATCCCTAAGGGTCCAAGGGCCCAAATAATGGGGCTTTAGGGTCCAAATACCATCAATGTTATAGTATTTGGGCCCTAAAACCTCATTATTTGGGTCCTTGGACCCCTATATAGTCCCCATATATTCCTATATATCCCCAACAACCCCTTTAAAGGGACCCTATTATTAGGGAATCCCGAGAGGCCTCCGGAGTACGCAGGGCGTTCGCGACCTTCCTCAAGATCTCCGACCGGGCCTGCGCACCGGCTCAAGGGGTTCGCGTTTGAGCACCCAGGAAGGCTCGCGGGGTTCGGGATCTAGGATTTAGGGTTTAGGATCTATGGCCTAGTTTAGGATTTAGGGTTTAGGATCTATGGTCTGGTTTAGGATTTAGGGTTTAGGATTTATGGTCTAGTTTAGGATTAGGGTTTAGGATGCATGGCTTAAGGTTTAGGTAGGATTTAGCATTTGGAGCGTGCTCAAAATGGGGGGCCCTAAAGACCTCAAGCAATCTATGGGGATTATAACTTGGTTGGCCTTTAGAGAACCTTGAAAAATATTAGTATAGATGGGTCCCTATAAAACCAATAAAGGAAAATATTTAGGGAACCCAAAGGCCTACCCAGATAAGGGCACTGCAGGGTTCCTTCTTGGGCCAGACATGGGCGAAGCTTTAGATATTAAGCATTTAGGATCGAGGGTGGAGAGTTGGTGACTTTAAGGTTTAAGCTTTACGTAGGAGTTTGAGTAGTGGACTGGAAAAGAGCACCGAACTAGATTGGATTTCGGATTTCGGCCTTTTCAATCTGGAATACATAGGGATCTACACTGGCGTATGGGTAATATGAGGATCTACACCCTAAACCCTAAATCCCTCAACCCTTAAAGGGTTGAGGTTTGGGTTTAGGGGGTTTTGCGTGTTGGTGCTCCGGGCTCCAGGTTGAGAATTTACGATTGGGGCAACAAGCCTCTAGAGCAGGGTTTATGGTATTGGGGTGGAAGGTTCAGGGATGAAGGTTATAATCCCCCTTAAGTAGATAGAATATGGCTTTGGGTATGTTAGAACAAGATTCCCATATACCCCATGTTTTATCCCTAGACCCTAAACCCTAAACCTTACATGATCCCCTATATACCCTATATTCTATCTACTTGAGGGGGACTATACATGCCGGCCTCGAACTAGGCCCTTGGCTTCCGAATCATCACTGCCTGTACTTACCCTGCGGGTCCACGGGCCCAAATAACAGGGTATTAGGGCCCAAATACTATATAATATTAATGGTATTTGGGCCCTACAACCCTATTATCTGGGCCCTTGGACCCTTAGGGTTAAATAGTCCGCAGAAAATCGGAGCAAACTGGCTGCCCCCAAAGTAATAGCCTTCAGAATCGTCCGGGCCGAAACAACCCAAAGCTCACTAAGTCTATGCAATGTACTTACTGGGTTTTTTGTCTTAAGGAACTTAGTTCAAATCAAGATAGTGGGGGAACCATAATATACCCATTGTGGTAACTTAATTTAAGTTCCTTAACAGCAACTCAGCGTACGATTTGGTCGCAGCCTCCGATGAAGACTGAGGCTTGGGACTCCAACGACATGCTGTCATGCTTGCTTATCTCCAGAACTTTTCAAGAATGAGCAATCATTGAACCGCACAGCCCTACATAAGCCCAAAGCCCTGCATGCTGCACCCAACTTATTAGCCCTAGAACCCTAGAACCAAAACCCTAAGATATCCTAACATATTATGCCTCAACCCTGAATCTCAATCTTGAAGCTCTGAACTCATGAGCCCTCTCAGCCCCAATAAAGTTTCCACGAAAAGCCTCGGGGCTTCGCGAAGGCCAATCACCTTCGTCAAAGGCACGCCTGCAGAGAGGAGGGATAGCCACAACACTCACTGTTTACATATGCAAGGCATCCAACATTCCGCCTCCTTTTTTGGAGGGTCCCTATGCAAAGGGTTATGAAGTTTGGGAGGATATGTAGGGGGGGCACTTTCCTTTTTGTATATATATAAGTAAATACAAATATGCACATCCACACCCGTATTGAAGCAGTGGAGACTGGACTGGATCTGAAGCATAACCGCAGTGAGCACAGCGTCACCAAACATAACACGAATGAGATTTCCTACTTCGGATGGAGGAAAGGCTATAAGCTGCACTTCCTTCTATTGGGCATTTGCAGCTGGTACGTATTTTTTCGCCGTTCACGGCCGCAGCAATATCCGCAAGAAGCAGTGAACCAAAGTCACGCAACACCAGTGTCACATGTCTGCAGGTTCCAGGGTTTTCCTATCAATTTGCTTGTCACAGCTTAACTTTCCTGGTATCCAAACACCGCTCCACCAAATGGCAAACAGTTCCTACTCCTCCAATACAAACGGAATAGAATGGATCCGAAATGCGGAAATTCCTCATCCTGGAACTCTAAACCGGCACCGTGCAGATCGAACTGCTCGATCAACATCTCCGGCTGATGCATGTGCAATGCTGGCCTTACAAATGGGCCGTCCTTCAGGACCCTCATGGCTGTGTAAAGATTAAGGGGCGTCAAGATGGGGAGAGCATAAGATTTAGGCTTAGGGATCTCAACAAACAGGGGTACATGTGTTCGGTCCCAGGATATGGATCAAAGCGCTTAGGGAAAAGGACACCACACATTTTGGGATACCCCAGGTTAGTCGGAGGACCACGAGGTACTGGTGTCAGACTTTTGACTTCAACTTTCTCTGTCGGCTTCCCTTTCCTTACATGAGCTATTGTCGACTTTCCATAGAATTAGGATCTAATTGTTCGGTTCCGTTTGAGGGCCTGGGTAGCTTCTTCAGACTGAGGCAACCACAAACTCTTTTCCATCTGTCGGAGACAGAACTGGAAGCCGCGCGCTGTTCTCGGCCTGCAGACAAGGAATTTGGGCGGTTTAGGATTTAGGGACTGGGGTTTAACGGAGACTAAAGAAGAGAGAGAGAGAGAGAGATATATATATATATAGTATTATAAAGAAGATTTAGCAAGTATATTCCCATATTCCCTACTAACCACAAGTTAGTTTCGTCCACACGGTCCCAATCCCAGTGTAGAACAAGAAGTCGCTGTACATACCTCGTACATGCAAAGCCTCACGACATTGTGCTGGGCAATTGAACCCTTGGAGTGCGAATTAGGAATTCTCGTCGAGAGTCTGGGTTTGGGCGTAAGCCAACATGACCCACATAAACCCTGGTCCCTGTTTGTAAGACCACCTTTTGCATATGAACTGGCCGAAGCAATTAAACAGCAACCTCCACAATGACCGCATTTTCTGCATTTTGAAGCAAGAGGTGTGATTGTGGCGGTGTGATTTTGGATATGATCTCCCTAAACCCTAAACCTTCATGAACCGGCTCTTAAGGTTTCTCTCTTTTCTGCCTGTATCCCGGTGTCTGAAACCAACCATCTGTTTGCAAAACCCTGGAAATTATCCGAAAGCACACTCTACTTGCTGGAAAGTGCACATACATGCAACATATACGTATAGAGACTCTTATAGAGACATATATATATATATGTATGTATGTGTGTGTGTGTCAGATAAGATGCAAAGCATTTCCCGTGATAGCCATGTTGGGAAAATGAATTTGATCAACTATCATACACGACTTGACAAGCTCTAACCCTTAATTTCAGGACTGCCCCGCTAAACACTACACCCTGGGTGCCTCCAAATAAGCGTTGTCGATGAAAAGGCGGCTGGTGCGCCCGACTATAGTCTCTGCATTGGCAATCGCCTGGCGCTTGGACTGAACGGTTTCCACGAGTACTCAATATTTAGGTACTTAGTACTTGGGACTTGGGTACAAACGTTTGGGGTGAGTATATGATTATTAGGCACTTGAATTCTCAGGGTTTGAGTAAGGAGGCTCCGACTTTGTAGAATCATACCCCTCCCTGAGCTTCCAAGACAAGAGCTGCAGGCTTTGTGTGCGACCATAACATAAGGACTCCCCATGCTTTCGGTGCTCTTCTTTGGCTGCTAAACCCTAAACCAGAGACTCCTGTGTGTTGTTCAAGGTTCGTAGCAGGGACGCAGCAACACTATGCCCGCCTCTGCAGCGTGTTCAAGAATCCGGCTTCTAAAGAGCAAATCTGTGGCAATCAATGTTGATGGGTCCCATTTTTTGGAGCCCCTATGTAGGCATATTAAGGCCCCATTAACTCCTAATGAGGGAGCTAAACCCTAAGCACCAAACCTATCACTATAGAGGGGATTGACCTAACTTTAAACCTGCTTGCAAAGAGCCAATGCGCCAAGAAGCCTCCTGCGAGGCCGCCAAGTTGCTGCAGGACCTGTGCACTCACTTGGTAGTCTGAAATTACCCTCATGGGTTTAGGGTTAAGGGCTTGGGTTTTAGGATTTAGGGTCCAAGAACCCAAACAGTAGAGTAGAGCTTTGGGGTACCTGAATCCCCAATGTTTGGGTCCAAGCGGTTGGTGAGAGGCCCAGGGGACTAAGTTTGGGGTTAGAAGTACCGTAACTGGGGTTAGCTTACTGTTCTAAGCCCCATTTATAGCTCACTTGCAGCAAGCAGCTGCATACCCCAGACCTCACATCCTATTCCCCGCCCCCGCCTACTCCACGCTTTTAACACGATTCTCAACCTGCCTGCTAGAACCCGCCAGTCCCAAACCTATACCACACCACCCTAAGCCAAAGCCCCAAAACCAGAACCTCATCCATAAAATGACCGATATCCCACTCTGAACTGGGACATGTCCCCCTAATCGCTAGTAAAAAGTTCCCCCAATTAAAGACATTAAAGACCAGAACCATGAGCTGGGAAATGATACTGCAGAGAATTTCACTAAACTGCTTCATAAAATGCTGTGTTCATCAAGAATGTCTTCTTATCATAAAAGTCTATTGGCGCACGTACGGATCTAAAAATGATCTTTGTCCGTCTTTCACCGCTACGAACACACTTACCATTTCTATCATGAGTTTTGCAAGACTGTTCGGATTGTAAACATAGGTATGACCAGCTAAGTTATGACTTTTCAACATCTGCTCATGATGTCTTAGCATTGCTGGCTCTCAAGTGGCACATAGGTTATCGCCTCTACTGCTCCCACCTCCATGAAATTCTCTCCCGCGTCTACTAGTTGTCTTTCGTGTTCCTTTTTAAAATCTGCCTGTTCTGTATGTTGTACGAACTCATCAATGATTTCCCTGTGGTGATCATAGCTGAACATATACGATCTGCGATCTTAAAGCAATACTTCGTCAAATCATCAGAAAAACTGATTGTGCCCCGAACTCGGAAATGAGGCCTACAAAGGATTTTCAAATTAGTTTGCGAAATGCTGTTCCATGCTATTAATGCTTATCCAACCACTATTGCATAACATGTTGCTCCTTCTGAAATTATTAACCCGCAAAGTCGACAATCGTGCTGCCTCCACCCCTGTCCATCCCATTGTCTTACTGGTTCTTTGTTGGGAATAAGGGTATATAGTCCTGATATAACCGTGGGAAAATGTATTCCCTCATTTCCTACCAAGAACAAGTAGCTAAGTTGTTGCCAGGCCTGAGAGCCATCAGGCCAGTCTGTGTTGCCCGCGGCAGCCGGGCAAACATGGCGAAGACGCCTTTCACGTTGGGTCTCGGTAAGAAAATGAGCAACAACTTACAGGTTGTTAGTAGGGACTGAGGGAATACATTACATTAGAACTATATAGGGGATATATATGCCCTTTCATCGGTAAATGTTTGCACTTGTCAACTAGGCATTATCATTGCTATTGCGGTCACAGCCACACTTTTTCTTGTCACAATGCGCGGGTCTTGGTGTGTGAGGCTGTTGAGGGGGGGTTGGGCAGCTTCATGGGCAGCTTCATGAAGAAACACATGATTCATGTATTTCTTAGCTGCAGGCGGTTGCGGGTTGATGCGTGCCTGTCAGAGCCAATGTGCTGCAGTCGGCTGCAAGCTCTAACGTTTGGGGGACACCGGCAGGTGATGGTACGGGGTCGGTGAACAGCATATTCACAACTGCGTACTTCTTGTATGGTGGATTCTTTCTGTCGAGGCAGCAGCGACGGCGACGGGTCGTCCGGAAACACACAGCTTGAGCTTTAATTAAGGTTAGGGTGTTCCTTTGATGGAGATCAGATATTGAACCAGTTAGCAAGAGGTGTGCCAACAGAAGTCACGTGTGGGCTGCAGCGATGTCTCGAGCGAAAACATAACCGCGTCGTCCGATAATAAAGGTTCTCCTTGCAGGCTCACCAAAAATTAGGGAATCAAGAATTCAACATCACAAAGTCTTCTGACACAGCACGGCGTAAGCAGCATGCTAAATAATTCACAGATGGGTAAACCTCAAAAGCTGCCTTCCAAATCTTCTAGAACACTCGCCTATGCCGAGACACTGGCAAATCATCACGCTTTATGCAAAATCACCTAGAACTTTCACATGCAGGGCACTTACCCGCGCAGCTTCGGTGCATGGGTTCTCAGGCAGCCGCCAACTGAGCTATAGTCTAAGCCCCTGGTATCTCCTTTGAGACCCCTATAGTAATCCCGTATATAATCCCCTAAAGAACACCCTTTAAGGAGTTTAGACTGTAGCTCAACTGTTGCAGGTCTTTGTGCATCGAGTTCTCGCAGGGTTGGCCTGGATGCCTTCTCACTTTTCGAATGGGCGCTTCCCAAAATTAGGAGTACGTGTAAAGGGGGATATATAAGTGTATATATATATATAGCAATCTATAAGGTTTGGGGTTTCCCAAAATTAGGGGTACCTATTTGGGGGGTCCCTATGATTCAGACTATTGTATTCTGGAATTCATATCGGTGTTCCCCTACTTTGGGAAACTACTAACTACTTGGAGGGTGAGGGGGACTTAGTAAGCAGGTTAATAAACTCTGTAACGCGTATAGTACCCTAGTTTTTCCGGATAACGAGGGTTACCATACGGGTTACAGAGGTTATTAACCTACTTACTAAGTCCCCCTCACCCTCCAAGTAGGATTAGGTCTGACACCGTGGACGTCTTACACTTTCCCGTAAACCCTGAGCCCCAAACCCTAAACCCCAAAGCTTAAACCCGAAAACCCTTTACGGCATGCCCTTTAACCTGGCCGGTCAGAGGTGGCCAGCATGGTGAATGTAGAAGCCCGAACAAACACCGATACCATCCCCGTTATCATCTGTGAGCTATAGTCTTGTAGATATATATCCCCCTATAATGGAGAATCAAATGGAAAAGAAAATGGAACATGAAATGGAAACTGCTCTACATAATATGTATATATATATGGGGTTATATACGCGTTATATGAGCTATAGTCTAAACTCCTTGATGGGGGGGTTATATAGGGGATAATAGGGGGTTTGGGCTCTCAACTCCTTCAAGGGGGTTCTCCAGGAAATTATATAGGGGACAACTATAGGGGTTATCAAGTGGGATACTAGGACCACTAGGAGTTTAGACTAAGGCTCATACAGAGATTTGCCTGAACATGCCCTCAAGCCCTATTCCAATTATCCAGGCTCCAAGATTCAGCGGTTTTCCTCCTGCGCTGTGGAAGCTTCAGCTGTCTCACTAGCTTTGCCAAGATCTCTCGCAGCACCTCAGCGCAATGCCCGCATCAGTAATATGATGTAAGACCCTCGCGAAATAACGAACGCCACGACTCCCCTGATAATACATACCCCTGTACAACACTTTTATGCAATGGGGGAATAATTGTTGCTAAGGGGGGTGGGGAGTTGTTTTGGGTGACAGAGCTACAAAGCATTCAGCTGGCAGCTCTAGGAAACTGGAATCAGAGTTGTACTGGCAAATTCTTCTTTCACTAGACAGTTCATTAGGCGTTCAGGCTGCGAAGGCTCACGAATCTATGGAGAGTCGCCGGCCGCAGTAACAAGATCTGATTGGCACACTCTAAAAACCCTTAACCCATCGCAAAAGCTTCAAGGGCTTGCAGCAATTGGGATCAGGAACTTGCAGTACAGTTCAGGCAAGCGGTGCGCACATCCTTTTGCAGAAAGAATTACCGCTGTTCCTTTCATCTATATATAGGAAATGGGAGAAGGCTTCACAGATCGGTCCCTGAAGAGACCTGCTTTGTGATTACCTGTGCCCAGGGCCTTAATTGATCCAAGCATTGCTGGATGTCTGCTTGAAGCCGCTGTTTTCGATGATGAGGTGTTAAGGCCCCGGATCGCTCTATGGACACAATGTACATTCCAGCACTGTTTCGTGCACGTGAGACTGGAGGCAAAATGCGACAAACAGCTCACAAACGTGCAAGTCATCGTCATGAGCAGAGATGCGCACTTGAGATTTCGCATGTGGAGTTCGCACTTCCAGCATCAGTTTGCGGCCTGCCGAACTTTGCACGGCAGACATGTCGCCTCGTCCCAGAGTAGTGATCTTAAACACTCCGATCCACCAACATACTCAACAAACCATGCTCCTTCATCATCTCCCAAACCTTAACAAACCGTGCTGAAATCAGTATTGATGGCTTCTGGTTATGTATAAAAAAGTAAGCAGAACAAATAATAACTTTCATAGGCACAACTCAGAGAACAAGCTTCTAAACGCTAAGCCTCCCTTACCCTCCCGGAGGCCTTCAAAGCAGTTGCCCGCCCAAGCCCCTGCTATTTCAAACTGAAAAACATGCAACCCATAAGTTGTTTCGTGGCATCCCCCCAGATGGACATCCGTATAAACGCTCACCAAGACTCCCGAATCCCATCTACTCTGCCCAAGATCCATAATAGAAACCCTACCTCATGTATAGCAAAGGCATTCAGCATAACCCAAACAACCCGTGGTTCTCAACAAGGTTGGTCCCCAGGGACGATCATAGGGGACTTAGCATGGAGACACTTGTAGGGATCCATTCTCTCAGTCCCGAAAAGCAAGAGCAAGCAAAGCTCAAACCCTACACACTCCTTCAAGCCTAAAACCTAATCCCTTCACCCAAACCACCCTAAGCACTACTTGGAAGCCTAACCCTAAACCCTAAATGAGAATGTAGCTCCAATTTTCCATTACTAGTAACCCTAAACCTAAACCTTGAACCCTAGCTTGCCCAGCCTACTTCAGGCGTGCATGGACACCGTCGCCGTCCGCGGCTTCTCATAGCCTAACCCACATGGTTGGCTTCTTCAAAATTACGGTTGCCGCATAGGCACGTATGACATATAAAGGCATATACACATACATGGTGCCCCAAGACCTACCTTTATATGTCTACATATGTATATATAGATGTAAGAAAGATGTCCATTATGTAAGGATGCTGAGGAGTTATGAAGATGATGTTAATGTTGGACCCTTTTTAATGGA